GGTCGAGAATAGCCGCGAATAACAGGTTATTGCTTATCGAGCGGCCAATTAAAAGTCACCTGACTCGTATAATGTATCGCGCGAGAGTGCTCGGACGGCCTGGGAACTTGTCGCGTTCCTACCTGCCTCTCTTCTTGCGATTCCAAAGGGTTAAACGGAGGATTTAGAAAACTGAAGAATTGCAAAAATTTGAAAGTGTTGATTTTACCAAAATTTTATCGGTTTTATTTCTTACGAAGAAAAGCTTGTCTCGTTCCTGCCAGACTGTCTTCTTACGATTCGAAAGGGTTGAACGTAGAAATTAAAAAAGTAAAGAAAAAGAGAACTGAAAATATAGAAATCTAACAATTCTCCCAAAAAATTTGAAAGCTGATTTTACCCAAATTTCACCGGATTTTCTTCTCAGGAAGAAAAGCCTGTCGTGTTCCTGTCTGATTCTCTTCGTACGATTCGAAAGAACGAAAGAAATAAAAAGATGTAAGAAAATTGATTTTACCCAAATTTTGACAGATTTCTTTCTCAGGAAGGGAGGCCTATCGCGTTTCTACTTGAAAAGGGTTAAACGTAGAACTTAAAAAATTAAAGAAACAGAAACCTAAAAACCAGTTAGTCAAAAATCCTGGGACAAGATATGAAAAATTTAATTTCACCCAAATTACACCGTTTCCTTTTTCACGAATAAAATCTCTCGCGTGTGTCGGCGAGCAATATTCGCGAGGACGCATAGGAGAGAGAGTATCATCGTCGAGGAATGTTCGTTTGCGAAATTCGTCGCTGCGAAGCGGCGAAACGGCGTCCAATTTTCGTTACGCGGAAACCTACACACAAAGCCTTTCTCTGGACCACATTTACTCTAGATTACATTGCCTTTTCGTCTCTCCGCTTACCATCCCCTCTCTTCCTTACAATTAGAAATCATCTTTTCCCCCCTGGGACATACTATCGCCTCGACAATTTTTCCAGATCTCTCCGTCGCTGAAGAAACGAAACGAGAATCTGCTACTTCACTTTTACGAGCGTTCCTCTATACGTTTAAAATTCAACGGTAATCGAGAACCGATAGAACATCTCACGCACTCTCTCGCAAAGTAGAATACTTAACGATCTGGTCACGCGGTATATTCTAAGAATAGAGGGAAGCATACTTCAATGGACGCGTCATCTTTATCATTCATCGCGGTGAATTCAGGTCGAATCCCAAGTTCTGATCGAAATTTTCCCTCTTTCTTCTCACGGAATCCTCGTGATCTCTCTCCGCGACACGCGATTATCGCGAACGAAACCAGAAACAGAGAGAAAGAGGAGATATAGACCTTGTTCCCTCCGTCTGTACACGATATCTCATCGTCTACGCGCGTGCACAGACTCTCGTCGCTTTATAACTGGAGGGACGATCTAATATTAGTTCCACTGGTCCGTGAAATCGTCACTTTGTTTTCGCGACGTCGACGGCCTTACTACAACTATGTTGGCTACGGCTCTTTGACGTTTTCGTTCGCCGTAATTAATAATCCAGCTCGCCCCCCCTTTCTTGCCCCGCAGAGACCGTTTGCCAGATGAAACGAAAGGAAAACACGGTTCGTCGACGACGACGACGACGAAGATGGGAAAGTCGTTGGAACACAACGAATTCCGTTTCTTTTATTCGTTCGAAACTGTGCTGGAATTCGTTGAAGCGGTAGGTTCGTCTGATCGACACGGCATTTTCTACTTTCTGTGGGGCCCGGACTCGCGAGGTATGTCCATTCACCGGTCGAGGTTCTCACGATCTCGCATAATTGTTTACGATCGACCACACGGAACGGACCGCACAGGAGCAGCATCCTCTTCCAAGTGTAGATTAGATCGTAAATCGATGGACGTAAAATGAGAAACGCGGTGGAAAAAACAGGTACTATTTTCTATTTCTGAATTTAATTACAATTTATCGACAAATAACGCAGTGGAAGATGTCCTTTTCCCGGTTAAATTTAATTCGTACTCTAATTCGTTCAAATTGCAATATACCGGGTGTCAAAAAATATTGCGACCAAATTTTAGGAGCATATAGTACTCGTTAAAACGACCAAAAAGTGTTAATAAACGTGGGTACGAAAATAATTAGTTTCAGAGTTGCAAAGCATTTTCAACTACGAGCTTGTAAAAATCGATGGACGTAAAATGAGAAACGAGTTGGACAGAACACGGACTATCTTGTATTTCCAATTTTAATTATCTATATCTACCTACATGAAAAACATACTTTTTGGATTTAGACATAATTCGTACTTTAATTCGTTCAAATTGCAATGTACCGGGTGTCGAAAAAAAAAAATTGAACCAAACTTTAGGAGCATACAGTACTCGTTAAAACGAACAAAAAAGTATTAATAAATATAGGTACGAAAATCACTACTTTCAGAGTTGCAAAACGTTTTCAACTACGAGCCCGTAAAAATCGACGGATTGTAAAATGAGAAACGTGTCGGATAGAGCACGTATTACTTACTATTTCTAAATTTAATTACAATTTCTCAACAAATAATACAATGGAAGATGTACTTTTTCGATTTACATTTAAATCGTATTCTAACTCGTTCGAATTAAAATATACCGGGTGTCGAAAAATATTGCGACCAAATTTTAGGAGCATAGAGCAATCGTTAGAACAAATAATAAAGTGTTAATAAACATGGGTACGAAAATCATTAGTTTCAAAGTTACAAGATGTTTTCAACTACGAGTAACAGAATAATAGACTACTGCGTATCTAAAACCTATCAAGTGGGTCGTTATAACTTATCAGTTGTTACAAAGTCGAGGAAAGAAAACACAGTACTAACACTATACATATCGAAGCTCAGCTAAAACGTTTTATCTACTGATCTCCATTTTTCGGAATATTTTTAAATATTTCGAGCTCCACATATTTTTCACCTCCTATGCAAAGTTAAAATGTCGCATATACTTTGTAGAACTCTACAAACAGTCTAATTTATTTGTCCCAACTGTTTTAAAAATTGTTTCAAATTGTAAAACCTCATTTTCCTCGAATTTTCAAAAATGTTCATTAGCACAATTAAGCTAAGCAAAACGGTGCTACAGGAGTAATATTTCACTGATAAAAACGTCCTGATAACTCCTAAACTGAGACTTTCTTGTTTGTTTCAAAGAGTACTACAAGTTCCTGAAGTTTGATCGCAACTTTTTTTCGACACCCGGTATATAAGATAGACAAGTTTCCTCTCGAAACCGCGTTGTGTCTGAATCGCGCATATACCTGGCACGAAGGACTCTCCTCATCATCGCTCGGCGTCAAACGCATGATTAATCAAGAGCCAGTGGATAAACCGAGACTAGCAAGTAGAACAACTCTTACTATCCCTGCGAGAAAAAAAGTCGACGCGTTGAGTAACTTGAAAAAGAAGACACGGTCGCGTTACGGACGCGTGCTTGCGAAACACCGTGCGCCGGTTACCATGACACTCGGGTTAAGTAACGTGATTCGATTGAAGGTACATTTTTCTTGCTAACGAGCGATAATTGATTTATTGCGTATGAAGGGGTCAGCCGGGCCGTATACGCGGTAGCACGCGCCCTGGTACCGACCGATCCGCTCGATTAAATCTCCGCTCTCGTCCTCTCTGCTCTTAACACACACAAATACACGCAGACGTTCGTCTTCTTATCGCTTTAATATACGAAACCAAAGAGTTGTCGCATATGAAATTCCGACAATTGTCAACAGTCTGTAGAGGAGAAAATGGAACAATTACCGATGAAAATCGATCGGTACCAAAATGGCGGGCGAGTTTCACGCCGTGAGACGCGAGAAGAGTGAGAAAAGACGGAGAATGCGAGAGCGTAACGCGACGACGAGCATTTTTGTCTGGGCGTCAACGCGTTTCGTAGCCGGTTTATTATCCCTCGTTCCGAGACCTCGGTCTCGCGTATTCCTCGACTTTACAGGATTTTTATGGGGCTCGTATCTTTTGCCGCGGCAACAAAATTATACGGAGTATCCATAATGTCGAGAACGAGCGTCTGCTATCTGCGCGGAACGATCGTTTATATTTCGAAAGGTCGGACAGGAGAAAGGGACCGGAGAGAATGCGGGCCGGCCGGATGGTTTCCTGAGAAAACCGCGGGGAGATGTTGCCAATTAGTCATCGACTACGACTACTTGAAAATTCGATTGGCATTTAATGCATCCGAGTGTATCGGAGTTATCGCCGAACCTTTCTATCGTCC